AGTGTGATAAAACGCTTTTTTTCCTAGTTTTTGGTGCTTTTTGAAAATTAAAAGTTGGCAACACTGGTTGCTCCTATCGTTTACGAGCACCTTAAAGGAGTCATGCAGTTTGTGCACGTTGACATAAAACTTACAGCAAGCTTTAAAAAGCACCCCCCGCTAGATGTGTTTTGGTCGTGACTTAAGGAAAGCTCTTCCTGAGGGCTTTGTTTTCGTCGAGCTTGACCTTATGAAATATTTAGAAAGCTTTTATACAAGCTTAGCACGCTTGTCTATGAAGCGATTCACTCAACTTAACTACAATAACAGTTATTATTAGCTTTTATTACATTAGCTTTGTTATCTTTCAGGTTTGTGTCTCTAAGAAGTGCGTGGAAAAAGGCAGAAATAAACAGAAACAATGTTGGTAGGCGACAAAACGCAACTATGATATAAAATAATTTGTGGGCTATGAAGAGTTAAACGGTTTAAATCAAAAATTTAATTGCATCGTTCTTATTGGCGGCGTTTACACGATCCCACATGCAGCGTTGCCGAATTGACGATTTCGTCGCCATTTTGACGTTTTTTTTGTAGCGCAATGACGTTTTGATGATTTTTTATTTTAGGTTTTCCACTAAGTTACATATGTATGTGTGTAAAAAATTTATTACAGGAAAACGTAACCCAAAATACAACCATGCATTTGTCTAGTTTTTTTCTACAACCGTGGTTTTATGTAGTCATATTAATTTGTTCTGGAATTGTGACCGAATCGTTAATTTGCACTGCTAACATTGATTTGAAAGAGATAGAAAAGTAGGAGAGGGAACTTGTTCAGTCAAAATTATCTATCAGTTAATAATTGCTAATGTTACATTAAGGGTCTCCACACCAATTTTGGTAGTTTTGGTAAACTGCTAGTTGGTGCTCGGTAATTTTATCAACTTTGAAAGTCCTTTTCAGTTTTCTTTTGTTAGTCTGGTTAACTATAGCCGTCATCGATTCGCCACTTTTCGCTCGCTATGTTTGAGTTCCGGTCGCTTAAAGAAGAATTTTGCATGTGAAAGCAACAACCAAGTTAGCTAGCACGGATAGAAGATAGCGAGTTTGGTTGTACCTCATTGAGTTCGTTCGTTTCGCCACTCGCTAACTGTTGGCGAATCGATGACGGCTTATGTTTATCAACAGCTGATTAGTGGCTTTCTTCCTATAAAAAAAATCGTAACAGAAAATAGAAGGAATTTCACGTACTCATATGGGCAACTCCAAAAAACAGGTACACTTTCAAAACAAAAAGTTAAATTTATTGAGTTGTGTGCACGCCTATGCTTTTTATATGATTCTATTCGTAATCTCTTAACAAATCCATAAATACAAGTGTAATTCATTTTCATCAAGTTAGGCGAGGAATAACCATTTAGATCGCTGAAATAGAAAACCAAAAAATAGTTTATGCTCACATTACACTGTACAAGTTGTAAATTTTGAGCAAAGATTTTGAAATTTGAACCAAAGAACGTAAATGTATAAGAAGCGACAACTCGCTAAAGTCAGCGAGCGAGGTCTGCAAGGTTGAGATGAGGAGTTCGCGTCCGTTTTGACATCCATTTTCGTAAATGAATTCGCCGCACATATGGTTTCGCGGCGATAAAAAACGTTGAGAAAAAGTGATCGATGATAGAAATAATAAAATGAAATGAAAAAAACATGGCCGCAGCTCTTTTTGTTTATTTGCAGACATTTACGTTCTTTGTTAGAACCAATTAATTGGGACGTTCTAAATTCAATGCCATCCCCCGTTTTACCAGATTGGCTCCGGTTTTCGAAATAACGGAACTCGATTAAATTTTAACTATTGTTTACATAACTCCCACAGACCCCGCCCACTAGAAAGGGGACAGTCCCCGCTTTCTAAAAAGGCGTACCCCCCCTTCGGCTCCACCCACAGACCCCTAGGGCACCGTTTGAAAAATATACACATGTAACCATAAGTGGGCGTGGCTACGCCCATTTTCCAAAAATTTATAATATTCTTATTTTTCGTCTAAAAATTATTGTAAATATCAATTTTGAGTGAATAATCTCCAGTAGTTACTAAAATATCGCAGTTTTCGTATTTCTGAAAATTACCGTTATATGGGAAGTAGGCGTGGTTATTGAGCGATTTTAAAAATTTTCGCCCATTTGGTATGTTATGCGAAGGCCAACAACTGTGCCAAGTTTGGAAGAAATTGGTGCAGCGGTTACCAAGATATACACATGTAACCATAAGTGGGCGTGGCTACGCCCATTTTCCAAAAATTTATAATATTCTTATTTTTCGTCTAAAAATTATTGTAAATATCAATTTTGAGTGAATTATCTTCAGTAGTTACTAAAATATCGCAGTTTTCGTATTTCTGGAAATTACCGTTATATGGGAAGTGGGCGTGGTTAAAGTCCGATTTCGCCCATTTTCAATACCAACCTACCTTGGATTAAGGGAAATCTACATACCAAATTTCGTTGAGATATCTCAATGTTTGCTCGAGTTATCGTGTACACGGACGGACGGACAACGGACAGACGGACGGACAGACAGACATGGCTTAATCGATTTCTTTTTTCATCCTGATCATTTATGTATACCTTTGTCTATATCTATCTCGATTCGTTTTGGCTGTTACAAACAACCGTTATGTGAACAAAATTAATATACCCTTGTGCACAAGTGAGCTCGGGTATAACAAGTCTTTGTAAAAAAATGTTC